AAAAAAAAAAAAATTAAAAAAAAATCTGAAAATTTAAATATAATTTATATTTAAATTTTTTTATTTTTTTATTGACATTTATATATAAGTTTTAATTTATTATAAAATTTATTATTGCTGTTATTAAATATAAGTTTATCATAATTCTTAAATTTTTTATAGGGGCAATAAACAATCAATATTGTTCTACACATAAAACTACACCTTATAATCTGGTATTTGGACAGTTACCTCATAGTGAAACCAGATTAGCTGATATTTTAATAAATAATAACTATAATCAGAAAGAATCATTTAATACTTCAACAAATATTTTAGAATCTAATAATGATAATGGATCATATGATTATGTGTCTAATATTTTAAATAATTATTATAACCAAAATGAATTATATAATCAAATTGAACTATCATTATATAATTATAATTTAAATAATTCTTTTTTAGATGATTTCGAATCTAGGCTTAATTTAGAAGATTCTATGATATCTGATAATTATTATTCACAAAGTTCTTTAGAAGATTTAAAGACAAATAAAACTCAGCTCAAAATTATTGAATTAGATGATGATAATTTGAATAATGATTTAGATTCAAGCAACAATATAATAGATTCATATAATAATATAATGAGTTCACAAGAAACTATTATAATTAGTAGTAATTCAGAAAGCCAGTCTTATCGTTATACAGCTCAAAAAAAAGAAAAATAGCAAGAATTTATCATAGAATTACAACAAACAACTACAAATTTAACTCGTCCTATATTTGAACAACATAGTCAAATCTGTCAAGTTGCTATTTCAAATGTTAAAAAAAATAGTGAAATTATTAAAAATACAATGGAAATAAAATATAGATCCAAATGAAATCGGATATATGAATCTGGTGAATTTGTAAAAATTAGAGTTCCTAATATTGATAAAGTTAAAATGAATAAATGATTATTACCCTGTAAAATTATTCAAAAAAAACCTAATCAAGACTCATATCAAGTCACTTGCAAGTTTGGAATTCTTGAAAACTGGTATCCTACAAATGAACTTGAACCATTAGGCATGCCTGATTAC